GGCTGGGCCTGCCTGGGGGCGTGGGCCTGGCCTTGCCTCGCGTCTGCCACCCCTGTGGGGCTGAGGGGACTGGGCACCACCATCTTTTGAGGGTGTGACAATCATTTATCATATTCCCTCCTTATTGGCTGTGGGTGCCGCCATCTTTGTGATGGTGTGAAGGTCACTTAGCATATTCCCTCTTTATTAGATAGGATTATTAAGAATAATGACTTCCCTACAGAAGTCTAATGTCTGTGTTAGAATGGTTGTACATGTGCTGGGAGCTGCCCCCTGAATGACTCTACCCACACATTAATGTGAGGGTTAATCTCCCAAAGTGCAGAACAGTGTTAGCAGGTCCCTGTGAGGTTCACTTCTCAAAACCTCAGATTTAGAAGGCAAACTTCAGGTGGCAGCTGCACGGTCAGGCCCCCTCCGCCCAGCGTAAGACTGAAGAATTAGCAGAGACTTAATTATTCAGGTCTGTGGACTTCAAGGCTGAGCCGGAATGAAGGAAGTCTATTGCCCTGGAAGAACCCTCCACATTTTTCAAGCAATTTCTCCAGTTCATTTGTTTTAAGCACCTTTGAATTCCTCTGGCATAATCACCCTACCCTTTGTCAACACAAAGTGATTGTTTAAACGGCTCAATCAGATTGTGCCATGGGCAACTATTTCCATTTATTATGATTTATTGCCTGTTTAGTACCAATGTGCCAGACATTCAACAGAAGAGAAAGCTTCAAAGATGATTTTTCTTTCTGCTCCGGAGGCCGACAGAATAAAAACAACCTGCTTAGAGTACAGGAGAGATTATCCTCACTGGCAAGGATCAGTCACTGAGGCCTGATTTGGGGAAAGAGGTTCAACTTTCCAGTTGAAAAAGAACAAGACTTTCTCATTGCCATTGGTCCTCCTATTGCCCTATAGCACTGATTACATTGATTAAAGAGAGGGGGAATGCCCGGTTTTTCACCAGGTCAGGAAGAGATTTGTCATGGATAAACCAAAGTCATGTAATCCTATTGAAGGCAGGAGTCTGGTAATAGTCTTTGATCCCCAGCAATGGCCCACGCTGGCACCTTTAGGCGCTGGATAAATGCTTATTTAGTCGATTAATTCAAATGTGAGAGAGCAGACCACTTATTTTACCCATCACTAATCACATCTACAACGTAGGGAATGGCGGTTTCCCGAAACTCTGCTCTGTAGGAAAGAGCCCCTCACCATTTTCATTCTTCCCTCAGGGTGTTTTGTTGCCAGGAAAAGGAGCGAGGTGTTAACAGGATAAACAGGCTCCTTGTTGTTCTTTATAACGATAGCTAACTAACTACCTTTTTTTAAGTTCTATAGTATGTGAGTAATAACTATTAGAATTATTTGAAAAGCTAAAAAGCACTATCTACTAACATCATTGAGATACCTTCTCTCCAGTCTTACCTGAGGTAGACGAGGGGTAGGTAGTGACTCTCCTGTCCTGAATGAAATTCTGAAAGGGTCCATGGTGTTAACTTTGCCAGCAATGAGTAATGCTTGGTTAAAACGCCCACCAACTTAACTAACCAGCCGTCTTTCTTTAGGTTTTAAAAACAAAAATCGACCTGTGACGCACAGATTTTCTTATTCTTTCTGGAACTAGTCAGGTCAGTGTACTGCAAAGCTGTTCTTTCCTCAACCTGAGTAAACTGCCCCCTAGAGTTCACAAAATGATCTCACAGGCTACATTGTCAGTCTTTTTTCCTTTTTTTAAAATATTTATCATTATTGATTTCAGAGAGGAAGGGCGAGGAAGAGATAGAAACATCAATGAGAGAGAATCATTGATCGGCTGCCTCCTGCATGCCCCTTACTGGGGATCGAGTCCACAACCTGGGCATGTGCCCTTGGCCGGAATCGAACCTGGGACCCCTCAGTCTGAAGACCGACGGTTTATCCACTGAGCCAAACCAGCTAGGGCTACTTTGTGAGTCTTTTAGAGCCATTTCTCAAATTGGGGAACTTGTTAAAATGCTAATTCTGACTCAGTGGGCCTGGGGTGGTCCATGGATAACAATATAAATGGCAAGGTTTTACGAATTTATACAATTTTTTTCTCTACAAATTTTGATTGTGTATAATAACCTTAATGTTTTTCATAAAATCTAAGAGTTTTATAACATCCAGTGATGTCACATATTGATACAGACAGATACATACAGGGGTGCATATATTTCAAATAGACCAGGTCTCTCCACACTTCTCTAAATTATTAAGGTTGGCTGCAGTTCCACTTTCTTTCTTTTTTTAAATATATTTTATTGATTTTTTACAGAGAGGAAGGGAGAGGGAGAGAGAGTTAGAAACATCGACGAGAGAGAAACATCAATCAGCTGCCTCCTGCACAGCCCCTACTGAGGATATGCCCGCAACCAAGGTACATGCCCTTGACTGGAATCGAACCTGGGACCCTTCAGTCCGCAGGCCGACGCTCTATCCACTGAGCCAAACCAGTTAGGGCTGCAGTTCCACTTTCAAGAAAGGAGAATGTGAGATCTCTGACTGACTTATTCGTTCTTCTTTCTACTTTCTACGATATTTATTGAACACTTAGTATGTGCCCGGCTCTGTGTTAGAGACTGAAGTTGCAACAGTGAACCAGACAGATCACAGCCCCTGTCTCAAAGAATTTATATTCTAGGAAGAGAGACACAAATAAATGGTAGTAAATGCTATGAAAGACGCAAAGGAGCTGAAATAGAAAATAATCACTTCTGACAAGCTGGTGAGAGAGGCCTCTCTGAAGAGAGGACCCTGGAGCTGCAGGGTCTACTTATGTGAAGCGACAAGGGGCCAAAGTGTTTAGGCTACAAATGTGCGCAGGCCCAGGAACCAGTTCCTGCTTCTTCAGCAAATGTGTGTTGAGCAGAAGGGAGCCTGCTGCACACGTCTGGCCCTCAGATCGGAGTCTTGCATCACTGCCAACAATTCACAGGCCCCCTCTGCT